TGAGGTTCTCCATTGGGCACCACAGTAACATCTGTAGTGTGGGAGAAAGCTGTGGAGAAGTAGCTGCATTTATGGATTTACGAGATGATGACTGATTTTGTGTAGTGGACAGCATTCCTGTGGGCCAGAGAAATTCAGTCATATTACTGACGGTCGGGAAATGTGCAGTCCTCCTCAGCTAGTGCTTTAGTGTAAATAAATACTGTATTTAATTATTTGTGATATATATTAAGTAAGAGATCTTTCAAAAGCAGCACATATAAAGCAAGGTTATATATTGACCAGTTGATGAAAATGTGACAAGAGGCTCCCCAAGAACCTAATCCTGTATTTCCCCAAGGAACAGTGATTGAGTACTAAGCAAGCCATGGTTCACAGCTACTTCAGAAAATATCGCTGTGATGAATAGCAGGACTCAACTGCATCTTCCATGGAGCTGTTTTCATTTTGACTGGAGGGAAAAAATATGTAACACAAATAACCTCCCTGATTGGGCTGTCCTGTGCAAGGCATAACTCATTTCTGCTTTATAGCAAACCTCCTGCCATTACCCAAAAGTGTCACTAAATTTCTCTGGCCCTGTGACATTGGGGTGTGTGAGGCGGGGCGGGGCAGGGAGAGCTTTGCCTGTAGAATACAAGTCTTCAAATAATATTTGACCAAAGTAAAATATTTCCCCTTACTTGCTAGGATTTAATCCACTACAATTTTAAATGGCTCCTTCCTTTTGTTCCCTTGCATTCTGAAGAGAAGCGACGACGACGACAGAAGCAGTGACAGAAAAGATGGGGCTCTGGAGGAGCAAATAGAGAGGCTGCAGGAAAAAGTGGAATCTGCTCAGAGTGAACAAAAGAACCTCTTCCTTGTCATATTTCAGGTATGTTGGCTTGGGATATTGATATGTAAAAAGAAATAATACATTTAGTTTTAAAAATGTTATTTTTAGTCGTAAAAGTACTACATGCACATTTATAAAAGTTAAAAATAAAACTTACAAAAGAAATAGAAGCTCAGTACTTGGAGGGAACTACGTATACACCTCCAAAATCTGTGGTGTCTACTGAGCATTCGTTGCATGAGCATTTCTCCGTGCGTTAGTAACGGGGCATGATTATGTTAAATGCCTCTCTCGTTTAATTATTCCCAATTGTTGATCATTTAGATGACGGTTCTCCTTCCTGGTGATCATTTTTGTGCATAGATTCCTGTTATCATTTCTAATTATGTCCAGGCTAAGTAATCTGGACATTGAGGCCTTCACATAGTGCCAAAAAGGATGTACTAACTCACACTATCACTAGTATACCTTTCTAGACAGCATTTATTAAATTATGAAAGTTACACATCACAAAGAGTAGAACAAACAATACCTTTGAGGTCTTTTGGTCAAAAGTGTGATTGTTTCTGAAGAATGCACTAACACCTCTTTAACTTTATCCCCTTTCCAGCGGTTTATCATGATCTTGACCGAGCACTTAGTACGATGTGAGACGGACGGGACCAGCGTGTTAACTCCGTGGTATAAGAACTGTATAGAGAGGCTTCAGCAGATCTTCTTACAGGTTTGTGGGAAGCTTTGATGAGATAGTAAACATCACTATTCTTGGCCACAAAGATATTCCATTTTTTGAAATCATCCAGTTTGTCAGGAGGTTATGTAATATCCATAACAACCCTTTAGTTCCTGTACATTTGCTGCTACTGTTTCCTCATCAGAATATTTAGGCTTAAATTGGTACTATATTACTCAGACTTCTAGCTGCCATTGTCTTTGCTAGAAAGGCTAGCTGTAATACAAAATGTAGAGAAAAATGCTCAGAGAACTGTAATTACACTAATGATAAAATGTGACAATGTAATGATAAACAGTGCCCACAGAAGCAGTTACATTAAAGATTGGTAGGAGAGGGAAACAGATTCTTTGTATCTTTAGAAAATGACAGCCCAAATTCTCATTTATTCTAAAAAAGTTATTGCATTAGAAGTCATAAAAGGAAAAAGGTTCTTTAAGCCTCCAAATAAAACTACTCTCTAGATTTAGTTATCGCCAATTAAAACAGGCCCTAGACCTTTAGGGAGCTCTGAATATATTCAAGGTGCACATAGAAGAGATTATTTCATTTTCTGACACTTTTTGCACATAAGCTCAGTAAGTCACTGATTTCCAGTCAGGCAGATGAGCTACTTTTAAAAGATGAAAAAATGTGACATTTGGGTTTCTTATTTTGTGGACTGTTTAATAGATGACTGGCTAATAGTGTTAATTTTTCTTTTTCCTTTGCAAAGAGATTATTTTAATGCTCTAACCAAAAAAAAAATGGTGATTCCAAAATTTCTTACATTTACGGATGTTTAACTGTAACAGTAGCAATTGTGCTATTCCTATTTGTAACATATACCATTTTCCCTTTAAAAAAAAAAAAAAAGTCTTCCTAGGTCAGTCACTGTCTGGGCTATTTTTAGAAGTCATACTTGTGCCCCAGCTGGTGTGGCTCAGTGGATTGAGCGCCGGCCTGTGAACCAAAGGATCACTGGTTTGATTCCCAGTGTAGGGCACATGCCTGGGTTGCAGGCCAGGTCCCCAGTGGGGGCATTCAAGCTGCAACCACACATTGGTATCTCTCCCTCCCTCTAAAAATAAATAAAATCTTTTTTAAAAAAGTCATACTTGTGACCCAGCATTAACCTAGCCTACAATAGTGGTACCAGCAGGCACCACCTTGAAGTGTGAATTGCATAGGCAGAACTGGATTTTTTTTTTAAGTTATCGAACATCCTTTCCCTCACTTCCCTAAATTTTCTTAATTTTGGGGCTTTTCAGGAGCCTGTTATTCATAAACACTCTCTTCCCTACAACCCGTTCCCATCACCACACAACATGGGTGAGCTACTAAGGGGAGTGTTCTGCAAGATTGCTTATGTGTTGTTCTTTTTCTTGACTTGAAACCCCCCTCCCCCGTTTGTATCCACAGCATCACCAAATCATCCAGCAGTATATGGTGACCCTGGAGAACCTGCTCTTCACTGCTGAGTTAGACCCTCATATCTTGGCTGTGTTCCAGCAGTTCTGTGCCCTGCAGGCTTAAGGGTGATATTTTCTCCTCATGTCAAGATTTTTTAAAATCTCAATTGTCTTATTTTTGATGGTTTGAATGCTTGCTTTCTTGTAGCATCCTTTCATTTTCTAAAGGAAACAGGAGGAGGACGACAGTGAAGGATATGGCATTGATTATCTGTAATTGCCCCTAAAAAGCAAATACTCTTAATGACAATGTGACAATAACCACAGGATGTATTATATACATGACGTACAACTTTTCCGATTGACATTTTTTTCTCCTAAGGCACAAAAGATAACTGATTGGAGGTATGTGAACACTAGAGGTCCAGCTAACAAAGTAGTATACAGAACCGATGGGTTTATTACCAAGTAGCATAGCTTTTCACGGCTTGTGGATAACCTAATGTGGCTAAAATAAAACTAAAAATATGTTTTTTAAACTTTGGTCTTTTCATGTTTTATCATCTCAGTCTACTTTAAAACTAGTGATTTCTTAAGGTATATGTCATTTGAAATTTTCCTTTCAAAATAATTTTCTTAAGTATTTTAAGATACCAGTGGTTATTATTTAAAAAAAAAAAAAGTGTTAGAGTAGCAGTTCCCACGTTTATCTGAACACTAAAGAAAAGTAACTGTATAAGATTCCCAGGTGATCTATGTTATTTTTTAAACTAAACTACAATCTCTGGGGGTAGAATATACATCTGTTCTTAAGGCTCCCCAAGTGATTACAATGTGCCCAGAGGTTTGGGAACCATTACCTTAACGGCCTTGCTCTTTTCCTCTAGAAGTACTAGACTGGCTAAAGCTATACTTGGAATTAGATTTAGGTGTGGATTTTGTTTCTATGGAACCTGGTCCAAGTAATACTAATTCTTGAGCCTGTTTCCTATATGATGTTTAGGCTTAACTGAGACAGTAAATGAGAGTGCACTGTAAAATAATATACAAGTTTAAGGAATTATCTGACATTTTAAATTCTTAGCACTTTTAGACTTTTTCATTAAGTCTTAGAAAAAATTCATAATAAAACCCCACAATTGGTAGTATTTTTGAACATTTGTACAACATAGGTATCTTTTTTATTCTTATTACATCATAAGCATTTTCCTTAATATATGATCTCTTTGGTTTACCATACATTTAGTGGCCCTAGAATATACTCTATTCAATAGATGGGAATTCCTAAAATTTTTAAATAGCACACCATTTAAGACAAGAAATGTATTATTCACGAGATTAAAGTTGGCATGGAAAGGCACTAGCAAAAGGGGGGCTAAAACCGAGGTTCTTGGCTAAATATTCTTTTATTTATACTGTTCCTCCTCATATTGCAAAGTTCAGCTAATTACACTTACTTGATCCAAATTCTAGAGGAATTTCTAGGTTTTCACTTCCTTCCTCTTCGAAGTCTCTTCATGTGTAACAATGGTTGCTTCTAACAACTGTTAAACTGATAAAGCCCTGCTCCGTCCCAGTCTGGTGGCTAAATATATGAAAAAACTGAGCTAGAAACTTAATTTCAAAGAAACAAGAGTGCAAGAGCAAACATTCAGCAATTGCTTTTCCACTAATGAAGCTCACACACTCACAAAAGAATGGCATGTCACTATACATTGTACCTGGGTGGGGGGTGGGGGGAGGGGGGAGGGAGGGGAATCAGTCTATTAAATTGTACTGATGCCTTTACCATTCTTTTGTCAAAGTGAGCATATACTTTGTGTTCCCTGATTCTAAATCTCTCTTCCAGGAATTATTCAGGAAGCAGTTCATATGAAGATAACTGTTTTTCCTGAAAAAGTATTTAGTAATGATGTGTGTAACTTAAAAAACTTACTGACCTGGGTAGAGCAGACATAGCTGTCCCTAACAACTGGATACCAGGACTGATGACAGCATATCTCAGCTAGACAAACCTACAACTGAACTAGTCTTGATAACAATATGTGCTCATTAACGAGTGGCTGTTATGTGCCAAGTTCTACAGATTCACAATATTCAATTCTCGTAACAGTTTTTAGAGAGATGAATTATTACACCCATCTGACAGATAAAAACAGGCCCACGGAACAACTTACCCAAGGTTCACAACTAGTAAGTGGAATCTGAACCTAAATCGACGTGCTCAACGGCTCCCTCTCTGCCAGGGCGGCAGTGCTGCTGTCAGCAGCCTGAACCCTACGTTACTCTGTCGTCATCAAGCTGGAAGCTGTGTGCGTGCGTGCCCCAAGAAGATCTTGCTGCCCATTCAGAATCAGTTTTTACTGGGCTATAATATCTAGCATAGCATATGAAAAATCAACACAAAAATGTTAAACATTTCTATACTGACTACTTATAGAGAAAATAACTAGTAATCATAGTCTCAAGCCTCTTTGGTTTGACTTGTTTTGACTTTTGCCTTTAAGCATAACCTCCAAGAGCTGATCTAGAAGAAAAAGTGAAAAAGTATCAACTTCCTGTTTCTTCTATTTATACCACTAGGATAAAAAAGCTGTATCAAAAACAGCTTGAAAATACCCAGTTTTATCTTAACTTGAATTTGTGTCAAAAAAATAGAATGCATGAGCCCCATAATCGAACATACTGGATCAAATCCTTAAGACATAGGGGAATTTTGACCGGCTAACGTGGTCCAGGTATCTGGGCTGACATTGGGCTGTAGGTTATTTCAAACACAGCAGCAAGCTGTCTTCCCTCCCAGGGTTAAGTTAGAGCACCTGTAAGGTACTTAGTACAGTGCTTACCTGGCGCATGATAAATGCCCAGTCAATGTTAAAAAGTTACCATAAACCTATTATAATTACTGTTTTTCCATTTTAATCTAGATTTAGGCTATCTAGTGACTAATATTAGGGCCTATAAGTAAACCCTATAGATAAAGAAAACATCAGACTCCCACAGTTCATCATTGTTCATTTGTTTCAGTGAGGACTTGTCCCAGCAGTAGCCCCCTGACTTGAAGACATAGTCTAGAAGTCCTAACCCAGCCTCAGGGGTAAGGGTCACCCACCATCCCTGTTATTTCTTGGGATAAGAATCCAGTTCAACCAGCTTTTGCCTCTACTAAAAGCTTTTCCTCCTACCCCAACCTAAGGTTTGCCTTGGTTTCTTATTTCTTAACTTCTGCTCTCACCTAACACTTCTGAACCTACTGTACCACTCAGCTCCCTTCCCTGTTCCAAAAAAAAAAAAAAAAACAATCACCGACCCAGTAGTTTGCCCACAATCAGATCTGCTGGGTTTAGATGAGACTTGCTCTTAAGCCCCAACGTACGTGCTTATTACTGAAGCATTATTCATACAAGTGTTTTATTCATCTATAAAGACTTTTTTCGTGAATTTTGAACAAGATCAATCTAAATTTTCTTTATCTAAATCTAAAACTCTAGAACAGATCACTTAACTAAAAATCACATTTTCTCATACGTCAGTTCATGGCCACACAAAGTACAAATCTTCCGGTACATGTCATCTTCTAGGTTTTCTTCTGGTCCATACTCATGTTGGTGAGTAACCATTTCCCTTTTCCATAAACTGCTTCTTACTGCTCGCCGTAATTCTAAGGAAAAGCAAACAACAGTTTTTCAGTGGTGCTATTCAGCTGAAATCCATCAGGTATATGTATGTATGTATGTATGTATGTATGTATGTATGTGTGTGTGTGTTTAAACCAAATATGGTTTACCTTAACCTCAACAAATCAACACTGACTATACGAACCTACCTTAGCAGGCTGGCCTGTGAAACCATTCATGCCCTTGTTGTAGTAGTATGAAGTGGGAGATTCAGAAATGGAGTGTGTGGGTTAGAGAGCGCAAAAAATCAAATCAAGATGAGGAAAAGAACAGAATTTGTGCAAGCAACTGATTATGGAAGACATGATGCCACAGCAGGAAAGGGGAGTCAGCTGGGTGACCGAGGACAAGGAGCATTTTAAATTCCATATAAGTCAGCAGCTACTTCTTTTAAGAGACATATTATCAAGCTTTGCAAGAAAATGAGAAATCCAAGAAGTCTGTCACTATGCTGTTTCATCTTAGAAAAACTGGTCATGCAACTAGTCTATTAAATTCTTTATCATATAAAATGAGCAATATTTTAGGAGAGGGACTGCTAATAAATATTGCAAAGTATAATCTAAACATAATCATAAACTTAAAAGCTAGGAAAAAAACCAGTTTTTATTCTACTTCATTTTATTTTGCATGTAAGGAAACTGAGCAAAGACAGCATGTAAACCCAGCTCATCTGTTCCAGCGTTTACAACTTTTTCCACTTGGGAATGAACAAGCTAGTAAGTTCTCAGTTTCTGGTTTAATGAACAAAGAGCAACAGTAATTGTTTACAAATTTTTCTATTCTGAGCAGTGATCCCTCAGGCCCAGAACTGCCTTTGACAGCAGCACAACTTATCTCGACCATGAGAATCGACATGCACCAAGGAATCATGCATTCTTCTACTTCGTCGTTGATCTGTGATAAGTAATATCAAAATACCACCTAAATCCTTGTATTTTTAGCCTTTATTATATCATGAGGATAAGCAAACATACAGGGCTATGTGTCAGGCACTGCTCTAAGCACTTAATACATATAAAATACATTTAATCCTCACAATCCTTTGAAATAAGTACAGCTAGCATCCCAATTGCATAGATGAGAAAACGAAGGCACAGAAAACTTAGGCAACTTGTGCCGTAGGTCAAACGGCTGGTTGGTGGCAGAGGCACAGTCTAGCTCAGGTCCACGTTCATAACCATGAAGCTGTGCTACCTTTTCTTACCTCTAGTAGGAAAGCACTTTATATACAATGATTATTTTCAAGCTTCAGTGTGCACAACTCAAGACAGTTTATAAATTAGGGAAAACCTTGTTCATCCAGACTCTAATCTTTATTCCTGTATCTCCTCATATTTTGAAGAACCCTAATTTTTCTAACCATCTGAAATGCCCTCTTTCCTTTCCATTATTTTATTTTACCTTAGGACCATTTATAAATAAAGTAATGAACTGATATACTAACCAGAACTGCACAGATGTCTCATGGTTTCATATGACAGGAAGATGTCTCCTGTTTGAGCTCCAGTACCTACTTTTTCAGCTTTGTTCTGAAGGTATCCTGGCCACGTTTCCTTTACTGCCTAAGAAAATCTATCAAAATCTGATTGTATCCCAATCACTGCTAAGCTAACCTCTGCCTAATTTGAGTACTGTGTTGAACTTCGGAAGAGAGAAAAGAAAATTATTAACACTAAAAACACTCAAAATCAAAAATCTAGCTTACTGGCCATAATTGGTCATATCTTTAGCATTTATCAGATATTTCTGGAAAAACGTGGTAAAAGGCAAGGAAATATTAAAAACTGATGTTCATCATTTTCTTGCCCTTGTCTTCCTTGAACAATCCAGTCCTAAAGCCATCATTACTTGGAAAAAGCGGGCACCTGTGGTAAAGCAGGGGCGCGCAAGGAAGGTGAGGCGGATCTCCCCACAAGAGGAGGCAGCAACCACGATGGGAAGTTAAGTTACATTTGGGGACAATAATCAACTGATGAGATCAAAGACAATGGGAATCTGGTTACTCATTGTCAGAGAAGGAAGTTACAAATAAGGGAGAAATACAGAATGGACCCTAAAACTTGGGACTGAACGGGGTTCAACTGTGTGAACTTGAGGTTTCTATCCGTATATACATGGGCAAACATAAAAAGATAATATACATGTGTTTTGTGTAGAAAGCAGAAAGGAGCACTCAATGATGAAGACATGTCAAAAGGACAGAAACTAGTCTGAAGATACTCCTATTGGACCGAATTTGAGCACCAAAATAATTAAGGATGGAAATGAATCAATAACATTGAGAAGAATAGGAATTAATGAATCCATACAGTAAACAAAACAAGTGGGGGCAAGGACGCTGTAGAACGCTGGCTTCTAGCTGGCTGAATGCAGAGGGAATGCTGACGTTAAAAAATTTTTGCAACCCTCCTACTTAAGACTGCTGCAAGCAAGAACCACCCATGGACAGATACTAAATTCTAAAGGGAGTGTTCAGGAGAAGTATGATGTTTGCAAGGTGTTTCAATTTTTTCCCTTATCAAATCAAAAATAAATACCAAAAACACCATTGAGGACAGATGGACATCATAGGCTTTCAGATGCGATGCCCTGAAAAGACAAATCATTTATGTGCTATCCCTGAAATGCACACTCTGAATCTAACCATCGGGACAAATCGGAAAAGCTCCACATGAAAAACACTTCTAAAAAGTCAGGGCGGAGGAAAGGAAGAGACTGTTTAAAAAATGTCACTGTCATGAAAGACAAATGCTGTGGAAATAGTCTAGAATAAAGAAATTTAGAAAGACGTGGTACCTAAAGCCAATACCCATTCCTAGACTGGATCCTGTGCTAGAAGGAAAAAATCATACAGCACGTAATTAGGTCCACTAACAAAACTAGCATATGGATGACAGATAAAAGTTATCAACAGTATACTTTGATTCTGTAAGGGAACATTCCTATTCTTAGGAAAGACTAGCATTTAGGGGTAAAGGGTGATGTATGCACTTCTTTAGGGTACATGGGGGGAAAGGGTTGTGTAGACAGAATGCAAATGATGAAGTAAATGGCATAAAGGTTTAACAAGAGGTAAATCTCAGTAAAGGATATATGAGTGTCCTTTGTACTATTCTTGCAATTTTATGTAAGTTTGAAAGTATTTACAAATAAAAACAAACCAAAAAGACAGGAGCTATCTTAAAGGGGCTTCAACTGGCCAAATTTGGGACAATGAACATCAAAATAAATGACAGGAATGGACTATAACACTGATTTGAGAATAAGAATCTATGAGTCCAAATGGTACTAAAAATGCTCTTCTTTCCAATAGAAGCCAGACACTAAAATTATAGAAAGAATAACAAATAGAAAATTACCATTTATATCCACCCTAGTAGTACGTAAAAACTGACTTGGGCAAAAATCATCCCTGTGTACTAAACCCACTGAGTAAAACTTAAGGAATAAGATGTTCACATAGTGTGGTCATTACCCACAGGGAAAAGTGTGCCTTCACCAGGAAGAAATCTGGCAGACACTGCCTTAACCGAGCCATTAAACTAAGTCTCACTCTCTGAGGAGAACGGTATGTGTCTCCTGATGTGACACACTCGACGACACATCACGTAGGAAACATTCCTACCAAAAATGTTTGACCCCAAATTATAAGGAAACAAGCCATGAATAAAACCAAATGAGGGATATTCTGCAAAACAGAGGGCCTGGACTCAGAGGGAGCCGCCTCCGACCAGCTTACATTACTGTCCCACTTCACAAGGAGATCGTGGTGCTGTGACCTGGGTGCTTTCTAAAAACAGGACAAGGGAGATCCATCCCCTATTCCTACCAAAGAATAGTTTTGGAGGGGAATAGTAGGACCAAAAGTAGCAATTTTCATTTGTATTGTGCAGTGTAAAAATAAAACTGTCAACATCATGAAAGATAAGAAGGCTGAGGAACTAAAACTATAGATATGCATCATCCTTGAATGGCCCCTGGATCCAACAACTAAAGAGCTGGTAAAGGCATTGGAGCAACTGGGGAGGGAGAGAGATACTAGACGGTAGCATTATATTGCTAAATGTATTGGCTGTGATTATCGTTTTTTAGTTACGCAGAGGAATGTCTTTGCTTTTAAGAGAGAACATGTTGACGTATTAAATAAGAATCACAGTGTCAACAGGTAACTTAAAAATTCAGCAAAATAGGTGTGTATATGTGTGAATGAAAGGGAAAGTATAGCAAACTCAATCAAGTGAAATAAAAATCTGTTTAAAGATTAACATGTTTTTCACTTCATTTAAGCAACTGAAAACTTTGGAAAGCGGAGATCGATTACCTACTGCTGAAAAGGAGGGGGCAGAAAGGCCAGACTTGAGCGGAGCCGGGGAGGCGTCAACAGGACTTGGGAGCTGAGGAGACCTGGAGCGGGGTCAGGAAGGGACAGGCCGAGCAGCACTGAAAGCCCAACTAACTGAAGCTGGAAAACAACTGGTTTACACCGTTACAGCCTCTCTGTCCCATTGGCTTAGAATTTCACAACACAGAAAGCTGTGAATTGACTACCTCACCTGGAAATTTATAAAAATCCATAAAAGGTTCTGTCTTGCTACTGATATCTTCAGGGACTGCTTATACTTTTTACCCAAAGAAGTTTTCCCATAAATCCTTGTTTCAATGAAAAATTTATGTTCTACCACTCTAAAACATGCATTTTACTTGGCTTAATACCTTAATTTTGCAAAAGAGGCAGGCTGTATTCGGAGAGGCTGAATGCTCCTTGTGACATGAACTTACAAGGGAGCTAGCTGAGGAGGACCAGATGCTTTTAAATACTTGATGGGAAGGCAGAAGTTTTGACATAGGGTGCCCCTTGTTCACTAGAAAAGAAAAAAATCACCAGGAAATGACACCACAGCATAAGCTTGGATCTTATTCTGTCCTCCATACACTGACGCAGAGTAACAGGGACTCCTGTCCGTCACACTCTCCTGAGAGAAGCCCGAGAACAGTCCTAAGTTATAACTGCAGGCCCAAGAGTTAATACGTCTACAAACTTAGAAAGGACCCCCAAATGGAGATTTCTTACCCATCTCTTTTCACGTGAAAGAATATAGTAACCAACAGTGAAGATTAATTTTTTTTTTAATAAGGCTAAATTCTACCAGTACTAAGTAAGAGAAAGTTGAGTATAACTTTAAAGAAAAGCTTTATCTCTGCCTTATTTGTGGAAAGGAGGCATGTGAACCCAAAATGTTCTGTGCATTGGCATCCAATATCAAGGCCAAACCGTATTTTTTGAAAGCCACTTAAACTGAATAGCAGTGATGCCATCGTTTCTACTTCTGCCTCCTCGGATCTGAGACCTACAACAATTTGAATTTGCTGACAAAATTCTTTCTTGTCTCTCACCGTATCTATATTTACATATACCTTACACTAACTATATGTACTTTTAATTTTCTCCTTTAGTAAGATCAATTTTTTCTCAAACTACTAAAGTAGATCAATATTCTAAAAACAGGGAAATGGAATCTCTTACCTTTCCATAAAGAAATCAACTGTGTCAGCTTCTTTGTGGATCGTAATCAGAAGACCAAGAGAAAAACCAGGTTCCAATTTCTTTTCAACTAAAAAACTTTTAGACTTGCTTCTATTCCTCTCTGTTCTGAGCCTTCTGAGCAAACTGCATAGTAAGCTCCTCGTCTCTAATCTCTACAGTGTCTACTCCACTCTCAGCCCTTTGTGGCCTAGTCGGGAGGACAGGAACATATCCACCGACCTCTAAAGCAAATCAACAAGGAGAAGCCGCAGTTAAAGAAGGCATCATGCTGACGTCTGCATATTAAATACCAGAAGACAATGGAGTCATTTTCACACAACAGAGAGAACTTAGGTTTTCATATGCAAAAGATTCATATGCAACATTCTTAGATTTGTAGGGACTTGGCAAAATATACCACGCATGTATCCACTTGGAAAAGTTTCCTTAAGAGACGTGCTTCTTCCAAACAAACAATTAAAGAAACCAGCCTTAAGAAAGCTAAGAAAAAATTCAGGACAATTCAAACTCTTCAAGCATCAGGAAAATCCACAGTAAGTTTATCTGATGATTAATAGCAATTTAATATTAATGAGAAAAACAGCCAATTACATTTGAGTATATTTTTTAAAAAATACCTATAAAATTGTGTAAAGCTTAAAAATGTTCATACTAATATTTAAATATTAACTTAATAGAATTTTTATAGGAAAAAAGCATAATAAAATGACACAGATGCCATAATCTTTTGTTAGTGAAATTATAAAAATTTAGTCAATCTTAGATAACATCTTGACCAAACTACAGAAACAGTATCTGAGAAAAAAGCCCTCCTTTTAAAATACTCCGTTACTTTGCAGGTACAACTTTCTAATTCCTTTATCCAGTATTATTATCTGCACTAAAATACCATCAGGAAGGGGGTTTAAGAATGCAGCAGAGAGGGAAAAATTGAGGTGATTCAGGTAACGGGGGTTAACAAAAACCTGAGGCTAATATTTAATGGGTTTATAAATACGCCCTTCTCTTTCATGTCCCTTAAGATGTCTTTTGTTACTTTATCCTGCAAGGCTCTCCTTGATGTTGGAAGAGAGAAAGGGATAGGGTAGAACTTAGAAAAGATCAAAAGAAGTCTTTCCAAACCCTCTCAATTAGTGCTTGCAGGTAGTTCTGAAGGCGGCGGCACCCAGGGGCTCCTCTGGGGAAGGTTCTTCAGTGAGACGCTCTCGTGTGGCACAGCCTGCTACACACAGGAAGCCTCTCTACCGGCCACAAACGGGCGCTGCTATACTCCCTGATTCTGGAATCATTTTCATGACAATTTATACAGAGATATGCATAAGGATGTTTATAATGGGGTTATCTGTACCGATAAAATTAGGATAAACTTCATAAATGTCCAACAGTACTTCCATTTTTAAAGTGTTTATGCATTGAAAAGAACTGGAAAAACAGACATGTTACTGATGGTTGCCTCGGGGTAGCAGAGTCACAGGACAGTTCTTTGTAGTTATCTAACTGTTGTGCACTGCAAATGAATTACTCCTGTAATGAAAATGCAGGGGGCGGGAAGGGGGGCGGTGTGAATCCCCTCACAATTAGAAGAAACAAGGCAGCTTTCTTTTTTAGTTTGCTTTTTTCTGTTTTTAAGACATCTGAGCTATCTTCAGTCACCCTCCTAAATGTCTTCTAAATACTACAAACACAAGCAAAATTATTTACTATGGCTAAGAGATTCCTTTTAAATGCATCAATTTAGTAAATGTATTACCCGGAATACACATAAAATACATACTGTCTATATACTCTTTACGCCACACGGGGACTCTACAAATACTGTATGAAGAACATGCCTGCTTTTTAAGGCTTTTTAGGAATTTTACGATAGAGCAAAAAGTGTTCTTTGTTCTCTTGTAGCGCCCTATTTTCATCGCTGTCACGGTACTTATCACACTCCACTGTGATTTTTAGGTTTACTGGTCTTTCTCTTCTGAGAAACCGTGACTCCAGCATTTATGTGAACACAGTGCCTAGAACATAGCTGACACATTATTAGCTTGACTGATGGATGGATGGAGGGAGGGAGGGATTGATGAAGACTTAGGCACATCCACCTGGACAAATAGAGACAGATGGACAATAGAATGGACAGTCCCGCGGATAGACAGACATATGGACAGAGGAGTGAGTGTGCCAATGCAGACTTTCAGTCCGAAAAGCCTGGCTCCAGTCCCGACACTCTAATCATTATTTAACACGTCGCTCTACCTTTCTAAGTTTTTTGTTCATATATAAAAAGAAAGTGATTAGACTCGCTGACATTGAAAGGTTCCATCTAGCTGCTAAGTGAGATGATAAGACTTAGTCATGATTTTTTTCATTTTAAGCAATTAGAGAGGATTGCTGGTGGGTATCTTTGCTCTTTATAACATTATTGGTCACATTTAAGATTGAGCTGATGCCAACCCTTTGACCAGAGATACATCCCTGATCCTATATAAAAATTCAAATGAAGGCGAGGGCTTCCACATTTTTTTAGAATTGCAATTCGGTGAGGTTTAGACTCAGAGCCTCAAACACCATGCGACTGAGGGCAAACTTTAAGTCTTTTTTCTTCAATGTATGTATGACAAAACATTCCAATCTACTGATGACACTACATCTTTAAACAGGAAGAACTTAGTTAAAGGCTTTTTGCAAAGCAGTAAACATAGTCCTCTATGATCTAAATGTAGCCACTTACCTTTTACTTTTTTATCAAACTTCTTCTGTTTCATTTTTTCTCGGTTTTTCTGTCGAACCTCCTTTGCTTCTTCTAATGCTTCCTGACTACCCCAAACTTCTAGAGCCCTCTTCACAATCTATAACACAGAATCCATATTTAAATTAGTTGGGATTCAGAATTGTATATTATGAAGTTATAATTATTAAATCCATAGGCACCAAAGAATGATCTAACTCAAGTACAATTTTACAAACACTTGAAATATAAAATATTTTAAATATTGATAAGAAACATCTCTATTAATACCTCTACCTAACCCTACGAGACCCTCAGTAAATGAATGCTGACTTCAATTATACTCATAGAGAGACAAGCTGTCCTCGGATTGTAACTGTTTCTCTGACTCACTCAGCTTTTTCACTTGAGTCAACGTACCTCAGAAGTACAGGTAAGTCAGTGAATGGGTCTGAAGGGTTTTGGTAAGCTCCCTCCCCAGAATTTAAAATTAGTCACATCAGATCTAAGTATGAGGTAATCTCCAAAGATCTCCCACCACAGGAAATCAATCACTACTACACTTTTCCCCCTGAATCAATCATAGCTTCCATCTACTTAATTAACTTCTGATCTTTAGAATATGCATTTAAAAAAAAACAACTCTGGTAGCTGTATGACCTAAAAAGACTGTATTCTAGTTTTAAAACTTTGCATTATATCTTTTTACTCTTTCTAAAATGTATTAATATTTAGGAGTGTAACATACACACTAAGAATTATGCTCAAGATATCTCTTACAGTATGTTAAGGGGACTAAAATATCACTCAGTAGAGCCAAACCCAAATTTCTTCTTAACATAATAAAATAATACACTCTTATTTCAATAGTTCTAAAACATTGCATTTTCTACCATTTAACCTTCTGAAAATGCTGCAGCAGCAATGTGCTTAATAGTACTTTCACAATTTTTCATAAAAAGAGGCTCAGAAGACTTGGACTCTTAATGTAAAGAGGTTTAGGACTACCTCAATAAATGTGTTGTATTTGCATTTTCCTTTTTATGTACACATAAGCATTATACATAGCAAAAACGTCTAATAAGTCTAACGGCACTATTTCAATAAGTATAAAATAAAAGCACCAAAGGGTCAAGAAGCATGGAGTCGGTTTAATGAGCACTTTTTCATTTTTAATGGTACCTAAAATAATGGTGAATCTTCTAATCGACAGTGTCTTACATTTAACGAAATTCAGTGTACGTTTGGTTTTACATGTGGCTTCTTAATTTTAATTAAAGGTACTAGAATTTTATAGTAAATTCTAAGTCAAATTTCTCTAAAGCAATGCCTCCCAATATTTTTTATATAATTGCACAAAAAAATATTTCAGTATTTGTACCATTCTGGGGCAGATACAGGAGGCTGCTTGTGACCGAAGACACCCGGCCTGGGCACCATAGCAGCCCCAGGTGCCAACACTGCTGAGCACGTTGGCCCACCTGTAAGACAGCAGGCGGAGTTGGGAAGATCTGCCCAGGACACACCGGGGTTGCATGGACACCTGATAGTTTCAGATGAGTTCTTCCCAGATGTCCCTAGATTTTAGTGTTTGTGAAATTCCTGAATTTTTTTAAAAAGGTTTTTGTGGGGGGCAGGAAAACAGGGTCTGACTCTTACTCCAAGCTTTTTTAGTTTCCCGACTGTACTCCTACCATCAATAATTAGTAATGCGTTGGCTCCAAAGTGCTGCACCAAAAAGCAAAGCAAGAAAACATGTAACTCTCATTATGAGTGGCTGTGACTCACATGCAAAGCAACAAAATGCTAAGGATGTTTTTAACGCTCTATGAGCAAAAACTAATTAGAAGTAGTTTCTCAATAAAACTTCACCTGTCAGAGGATTAAAAATGACTGAATATAACTTATTAGAGACCTGTAATTTTAGGTAGAGTTTCATATCACCCCACTGTGAATGATGAGGATTCTTCTTCACAATAAATTTAAGAGCTGGTTCTCTTTTTTCTAAGTCACAGTCTTTCAGAAGGTATTCCTCTTTTGCTTCTGTTTTAGTTATAAGTCTGTGTTTATCATCAGCATCTCTGAAAACAAATCAAGTTCATTATATAAGTTAGTTATTTAAAATAAACTAAGTTTTCAAGTAGCCCAACAGCCCTGGCGCGCGCATGCCAAAAAGAGCATATAAAACACTCTTCCCTGCAGCTGTCACTGTCAGATTAGCAGCAAAAAAATTCTAACGGAGAAATAAGCTTTATCTTTTACATGCTCTGAGAAGCTGTACTAGCAGCAAATTCATGTTATTTAACACGTTAAGGATTTCTTTTCTCCTTAAAAGTCCCTCCTTTCCACAAAGGATTTGAAATGAGTCAAAAGAGTCCAACACATATAAATGAGAACTGAGATTCAATAAGTAAGGAAATATAAACTAAGGCACAAAGCTGGGGTGGGCAGGATATAAGGAATATAAATATGCAAGGTCCAACTGCCCCAACACAGTTAAGTTTCCAGTTGGCTCTGAGCTTTTCAAATCAAGATAAAATTGGACACAGTCAATGACACCGAGTTCTCATTCATTTGTTCTCTATAAGTCGAGTATTATTTGAGGCATTAGGAATACAGCAAAGAATTAAAAAAAACCTTGTTTTCATGAAAGTTACATTCTAGTAAAGATGAAGACAGTCAATAAATATAATGACAGATAAAAACTCTATGAAGGAATATAAAGAGAGTAAAGGCATGGAACATTTTCAGATTGATTGGGTAATCAAAGTCACTGATAAGGGGTCATTGTGGCAGGGCCCTTAAGAAGTCAGAGAACATTCTGAATAGCCAGAGAACAAGCGTTCCTAGGAGACAGAAGAGCAAATGCAAAGGCTCTAGGACAGGAAAGAGCTTTGCAACAGGACAGCAAGGGGGCGCTGTAGCTAGAACACTTAGAGTGAGTGAGGTGAGGAGCGACGAAAGACAATGTCGAAGAGAAGTGGTGGCCTTGTAATCAATGATGAAGACAATTTTATTCTAAATGGAGGAGAAACCATTAAAGAATTTTGAGTAAAATGTTATATGGAGAAGAGACTGACAGTGCAAAAGCGGGGAGGAGAGCCCAGTTAAAGGGCCACTGCTGCGGTGGCCCAGGCGAGCGCGGACGGCGGCCGAGGCTAAGGTAATAGTGGGAGAGAGGGTGAGAATAGGTTTTGAACACAGAGACAAATGGTTTCAGAATTCAACATGGGATAGCAGAGAAATAGCCAATGAATGAAGTTGGCCTTTACCGAAGGAATGAACACTGAAGAGGAGGCAGAGCTCAAGGAGGGGAGACTAAAACTGGAAGTACCTTTAAATAATTTGAAAGTATCACCTAAAGGAGGGGACAAGTAAACTGTACTGTACTAAAATTATAATCCTGGAAGATGTTGAAAGGAAACAGAATGGAGAACCATGTTCCTAATTATGTTTAAATTTTAGAAATATGTATACTTTTTAGGCTACCACACAACTTTTTTTAAATTGATTTATCAGCTCCTTTCATTTTCTCATGGAAATAAGACTGTATGTGCTAATACAGTTTCCAAAAGCTACCCTCACTTAAAGGAGAGTGGTAATACTGCTCACCCTGACATTAATGACAGTGTATGTCAACGGGAATAGAGCTTGTAATTTGTAATTCCAGCGGGTGCCAGGACATTTCCAGTCACCCATGTTGAAACCAGAAACATCCCCATTCTCCCCGTCTTCCAAAGATTCTACCCAGCAAAAGTCAGCTGCGATGCTGAAGAGACAGGTCCTCCAGGCAGGTGAGGAGTTCACCGAGGGCTGTAGGTATCAGCAGTGGGAATGGGAACAGATAAGAGGCGAAGAAATATTCCAAGATAGGAACTTCAGGTGTGACAGACGCCAATGAGGTAGACAGCAGGGAACAGGGGAACCATGTGAAGGAAGAAGGATTGTTCTAAGTTAATATAAAAAGAGGATAAAGGCTAGGAGAAGAAGAAAAAGAATAACAGAAGAATGTGATTTTTCCTCATCTAGCCTCTTCCCTGACTGCTCAGGAGAGTAAAACAAGGAATGGAAAGAGGTGTCCTGAGAGTACCAGAAGGGCGGCTGGAGAGGCTTCGCTCTCCTCTCTTTCACAGCCCCAGTCCTCTGACCAAGGTGTCAACATACACTGAGACAAGAAAGAAACAGGGATCCTTCAGGACGGGTTAGGACCCTGCTCCGGAGAGGTGGCTGAAGCCCTCCGGGCCAGCAGAAGGGAAAGAACGCTGTCTATGGCAGGACCTGGGGCATTCCTATCTATGTGACATATCATAACGTCGACAAGCACAGGCTTCCTGTATTTCTTTGGCAAAATGGGAACTATACAAATGTTAAGAAACTCCCCCAAATAATAATTAGTAAAATAATATTAAATTCAAACGGATTGAATTGTTTTACCCTAAGACTATAGTAAACATTAAACTTTAGCAATTGAGAACATTGTCTGAAATAAAATGAGTACCTGCAGTTATCACAAGTTGGCAAATCAAAGTTGTTCATAAGATAAGAATCCATAAATTCTCTATTACATTCTTCACATATTGAATAGTCAAATTCCATAACAGGTCCTGAAGAAAAGATTAATGCTTTAACTTTCCTTCTTTGTGACTAGAACAATAAGTTTTCCTCTACCAATAGAGAAAATTCCTTCCTCTTCATCTGTCTCAGCCACTAGACTACAAACTTCTTGAGGGTAGAGATTATATTTAGCAATATATCCTCAACACCTGGCACAAAAACTACCCTAGGCAGAGTAAAGCTAGATATTTTTAAGGACTTCAAACACTGAGCTAAGGATCTTTATCCTAGTTCAAGTCTCAGCTTCTGAAAACAATGGTATAGAAACAGAACACGACTACTACCTACCATGATAAACCGTAACACTTCCGTTGCTGCAGCTAAAACTGGAATAGGTTTTTTAAGCTGTTATATTATACCACTAGCTCTTAAAACTTATGATCAAATAAAACTTTAACTTTTTCAAAGGGTGTGAAAGTATCCTCACCCAGAGGATACATATGGCTATATTAAGTGGATTTACCAAAACGTTAACCTTAGATATTGGATATATTCTTTTGTCATGCCAGGTCTCCCTATCTTATACTCGATGTAAACTGATTTTTTTCCTCCAAACATAAAGAATGTTCTAAATTTTATCTCCGGGGTTCTAGCCTCTCATTTCAGCCTATCAAGGTAATTTTGAGTGCTTATTCTATCAGCTGATATACTGGCTGTCTATGCCCATTATAAAACAAGACGGTGTCAACCCTAAGTACAGCAGGTCCTCCAATAACATTTCGTTCAATGTAATTTCACTATAACATTGACAAAATGCCACAGGAACTGAACTGTTGCTTATGTCAATTAGCCTATGATAAAACTGGTTCTGTTTTACATCATTTTGCTTAAAGTCAGAGAACCTATCAATGGTGTAAAGTGAGGACTTACAGTACACAAAACACAAGCTTTATTAGTCACTGCCAAATCTGTTTAATTTTCAACCTACTAGCAAAACTTTATTACTCTTATAAAGCTAACCTGCTCATTGCCTAACTTATTTAACATCAATTTACAAAGACTTACACATATTACTCAAAATGGCCAACTTAAATATCTATTTTCTGAAAATACACCTTACCTGGCTGATGAACAACTTTGCCAACTGTATGTTCTTTTTCTCCTTCCTCTTCCAGAATGAATCCTCCTCCTGTGTCAATTATCTTCGGGGCTACTTTTACATTAGCCACACCTACAAAAGGTAAGTAAAAGGGGTCAACAACTGAACTAGGTAAGCCGGTATGTCCCCTGTGCACAAGCAGAAACTTTCTGTAAATTTAATATACAGCAAACAAGACAACAAATGTCCACCATTACCACTTCTATTCAACATGATACTAAATAAAGGTCCCAGCTAGTACAATATGACAAGAAAACAGAACTGGCATAAAAGTTGGAAAGAAGTAAAACAGTCTTTATCAACAGATGGCTTTATTATATATGTAGAACATCCACAGGAATCTATAATCAGAATTTAAAAATACTACCTAGGAAGAGGTGTGTAAAAACTCTACACTGAAACACCATTCAGAGAAATCACAGACCTAGACAAGTGGAGAAATATGCCATGTTCAGATTGGAAGCCTCCATTTGGTAAAGATCTCAATTCTCCCCAAATTTATCTATTCAATGTCAAAATACCCCGGGGGGGGGGGGCTTTTGTGTGTGTGTGTGTGTGTGTGTGTGTGTGTGTGTGTGTGTGTCGTGGGGGGGGCAGAGGGGAGGGTAGGAGCTGACAAGCTGACTCTAAAAATGGAGGACTTACACTACCAGTAATTAAGACAGTTTGCCATTGGCATGAAGACAAAGAGATCAATAAAATAGAAAAGAGGGTCCTAAATAGACATACACATATTTGGTCATTTAATTTATGGCAAAGGCTCCAAAGCAATTCAGTGGGGGAAAAAATAATCTTTTCAAAAAAGGCACTGGGATTTATGACAAAGGTGCCACTAAGGGAAAAAAATGGTCTTTTCTATAAATGAACTTTAACCCTACCTCCTACAGTATACACAAAAATTGTTTAAATGGATTATAATCTTGAATGTGAAAAGTTAAACACAAAGCTTCTGGAGAAATCCTAAAATAACTTTGTAAACTTGAGATAGCCAAAAATTTCTTAAACATAACACAAAAAGTACTAACCATAAGGTCTTGATTAAAATGAAGAACTTCTACTCATCAAAAGACCTTTATGAGAGTGAAAAGTCAGGATGCAAACTGGGAGAAGCTATTTGCAATATGTATACATGACAAAGGACTCACATCCAGAATATGCAATGAAGTCCTATAAATCAATAAAAGACAAATAACCCAACCTAAAAAAAAAAAAAAAGTCAGAAGACCTGAATAGGGACCTCACAAATGAGGATATCAAAGGCCAGTAAGCACATGAAAAAGCCATCATCATCATCATCATCGGTCATTGGGGAAAAAAACTATTTTTTTAAAACCATAACAAAATATCACTACATCTCCACCAACATACACAACAAGGAACGATAGCCTTAAATAACACATTAAACCAGATGGACGTAATTGATATTTTCAGGACATTTCACCCATAAGCAGCAGAAGATACATTCTTTTCAAGTGCACCCAGACCACTGTCTAGGATAGACTACATCCGACCACAAAACAAGTCTCAATAAATTTAAAAGACTGAAATCATACCAAACATCTCTGATCACAGTGGTATGAAACTAGAATAAATTACAAGATGAAAACTAAAAAACACACAAACACACTGAGGCGACATAGCAGGCTACGAAACAAGGAATAGGTTAACAATGAGATCAAGGGAGAAATCAAAAGATGACTTGAGACAAGTAAAAATGAAAACAAAATAACTCGAAAATCTATGGGGCACAACCAAAGCAGTTCTAAGAGACATATTAATAGCAAATACAGGCCTACATCAAGAAACAAACAAACATATCAAATAAACAATCTAACATTATATTTAGAGGAACCAGAAAAAGAACAAAGCCCAAAGTGAGCAGAAAAAAGGAAATAATAAAGATTGGGGGATGGAGGGAGTCTAAAAAGACAACAGTGAAGGTCAGTGAAAGCAAGAGTTGGTTTTTTGAAAAGATAAGCAAAACTGATAAACTTTTAGCCAGACTGGAGAAGAAGAAAAGAGGGCCTAAAAAATTAAATCAGGGGAAAAAAAAATGACAACTGATACCACAGAAAGAAAAAAGGATTATCAAGAAATACTGTAACTTTACACCAACAAACTGGACAACATGGAAGAAGTGGATAAATTCCTAGAAACATACAATCTTCCAAGGCTGAATCAGAAACAGAAAACATGAACACACCAGTAACTGCTGACAAAATCAAATCAGTAATCAAAAAACAAACAAAAGCGCTGGACCATATGACTTCATAGGTATATTTTACCAACATTCAAAGATTTAATTCCTGTCCTTCTCAAGCTATTCCAAAAAATTGAAGGAGGACTCCCAAACTCATTTTATAAGGCCACCATTACCCTATTACAAAACCAGACAAAGATACTACAGAAAAAGCAAATTATAGGCTAATATCCCTGATGAACATAGATGCAAAAGTCCTCAACAATGCATTAACAAACCATATTCAGCAATACATTTATTTAAAAGGTCATACACCGAGGTCTAGTGGGATTTATGAGTGGGATGCAAGGTTGATTAAATATCTGTAAATTATACACCTCAAACAGAATAAAGGGTAAAAATCATATGATCACATAGTAGATGCAGAAAAAAACCATTTCACAAAATCCAGCATCCATTTATGATAAAAACTCTCAGCAAAATGGGGATAATGGGAACACACCTCAACATAAAAAAGGCCATATATGACAAACCCACAGCTAACATCATACTCACAGGTTTTCTTCGTTAATAGCCCCAAACTGTGAACAATCCAAATATCCATAAAAATGTACCATATTTTGCCATGTATAATGCATCCCGTGTATAACGCGCACCCACATTTTTCTGTGCATCACACACGAGATTATGATGCCCATTATCATACCCGTGGTATGGAATCATCATACCCATGTACAATGTGCATCCTTATTTTTCCCTCAAAAATTTGGGCAAAAAGTGTTCCCTATACACAGCAAAATATGGTAAAAATTGTGGTATAATAATACAAAAGAATACTATTAACATATAAATGAACTACCAACACATGCAATAATGCAAATGAATCTCCAATATTTATGTTAAGCAAAAGAAACCAGGCACTGTGATTCCATTTAAATGAAGCTCAAAACAAAACAAAAAAAGTCCTAGCTGGTGTGGCTCAATGGACTGAGTGCCGGCCTGCTAACTGAAAGGTCACTGGTTCAATTCCCAGTCAGAGCACAGGCCTGGGTTGCGGGCCACATCCCTAGTTGGGAGTGTGCGAGAGGCAACCGATTGATGTATCTCTCGCACATCGAATGTTTCTCTCCCTCTCTCCCTCCTTTCCCCTCTCTCTTAAAAAAAAAAAAAAAAGATACTATGATACTACTACTACTAATCAAAATGGTTGGAACAGTCTGAGGGTGGTTGACTAAGAAGTGGCAATGGGGAACCTTCTAAGGTTCTGGAAATGTCTATACATTAATCACTTTGGAGTTTACATGAGCATTTATATAGGGAAATTCCAGATGAATACATTTTACATGTCAATGTATGTATGTTATAAATCATGTTTTAAAAAGAAAAATTTAATGGTACTATCTTAAGTAACTCTTTTTTCCTGGCCTCAATTTCTTTCTCTAGTAAATAAAGGGATTAGATTATAATAAGCCTATTTCTATTATTAACAGCCATTCTTATACTATATTGTCTGTTCATCTCTCTCTATATCCCATTAGGCTGTTTTTCTCTCTCTAATCTGACAAATAGTTAAGCATTTCATGAATATCTACTGGACGGGCAGAAATGGATAAGTGGACCAGAACATACTGATTTCAGGAGTAGTGCAACCAATAACTGGAATGACCATGACTGCAATGAGAATTAAGAAGAGGGGAAGCTGGCCCTGGCCGGGTAGCTCAGTTGTTTGAAGTGTGGTTCATAGATGACAAGGTTGTGGGTTCAATCCCCGGTCATGGCTCATACACAGGTTGCAGGTTTGATCCCTTGATCAGGGCACATAAGGGAGGCAATAGATCCATGTTTCTTTCTCCCATTGTAGCTGCTGAGTCTTGCTGTTTCCCCAGGGCCTTAGCATCACTTCTTAACACCACATTCTAAGCAAGTTCTCAGTCTTTTTCAAGGCACGTGCAGAAAATGGAAATTGTACAGTACCTTAAAATAAAAGCACTACAAAGATAAAAGTCTCAGCACCTACCTAACTCTTGAAGCACAGCAGGTTGCATGCAATGCTCCAACAGTTACCCGTATTTTGTCATGTATAATGCACTCCCATGTATAATGCATACCCACGTTTTAGGCTCAAACTTTGAGGGGAAAAAAATTTTTCATTTTAATTTTTTAATTCCATTTTTTATTTATTTATACTTAGATACTTTTTTGTATTATGAAGGAATTTTAGCATTTCTTTTTGAACATATTATGGTACAAGAAATTTTATGTAACAAATGATTACAAAACACAAGGACAGATATAAAGTACAAGTAATTTTATGTACTGGTGACAAATTAGTACTACCCATGTATAATGCGCAAGCTTATTTTTCCCTCAAAAATGTGGGCAAAGAAGTGCGCATTATATACGGCAAAATACAGTAGTTCTTGGGTGACTGCCTAAGAAATCTTACAGAATATTCATTCTTCCTTGCTTTCCATGATCAGAAGTTTAATTTAATACCAGCTTATACTCTACTTTGCACCCCTGTTGCACATCCATTTAGTGCAGATGCTCCTGGGCATATGATGGGATCACATGCCAATAAACCCATCATAAATGGAAAATAGCGTAAATCGAATACTACACTGTAGAGTATGGGTTGTTCGTGAACGTGGCTAACTGGGAGCTGTGGCTCACTACCACTGCCCAGCATCACAAGAGAGTATAGTATTGCATATCATTAGCCCAGGAAAAGATCAAAATTCAGCTCACGGTCTCTACAAAATGTGTGTAACTTTTGCACCATTATAAGTCAAACCACTGTAAGTCAAGAACTGTCTGTATAAATCTAGAAACCTTCGTAGAACCATGAATATGAATTAATCAATGCAAATTAACTTTTTGTCCAGATTCTAGCATGCCTCAAGTTGAAAAAGGAATAAAAGCAAGCCACGAGAAAGCAAAATGAATGAGACCTGAACCATTAAATAGTGGCTGGAAATTGCAGATTCAGTGTCAGTATGAATATCAAAACATGAAGCCAGGCCCTGACTGGTGTGGCTCAGTGGGCTGAGCATCGTCCAGCAAAGCCAAGAGTCACCTGTTCGATTCTCAGGCAGGGCACATGCCTGCAAAGCGTGCCTGGTTCCTGGTTGGGGCACTAGCAAGAGGCAACCAATCAATGTTACTCTCCCTTTCTTTCTCCCTACCTTCCACTCTCTAAAATAAATAAAACTTTTAAAAAAGAAAGAAAAGACATGATGTCAGCCTGACTCTTTGCACTCTTCCCCCCTTCTAGCTGATGAAAAACGATAGTAGATGACACAGCTTTAAACTCTGCTCAACTACTCACAGCACGAGTTATGGCTTTAGGAGTACAGGCACTTCATGTTGCAGCGGTAGTCCTGAAGACCTGCATGTCAACCAAACTATACTTTAGGTACCCTGGGGAGGATTATTACTTGACCACAGTGGAGAATTACATAAAATAGACAGATACACAAATACATACATATACATGCCAGACAGGTAGCCAAGGGCTGCCTGAAGAAAGGTAAAAGGTGAAATCCAGATAAGAGTAACAGCCTTTCTTCCTAAGGGTGAGCGATGCCTAGCACAGCAGAGGCAGCTGGTGGCAAGGAAGGGACCCGAACCCACCTTCAGATGACCCAAGTTCTAGTCCTGATTAGCCTGTGCACTTGCTGGGATGAACCTAAGCAAATCCCTTTCCTTTTCTGGTCCTCAATATCCACCTCATTCACACAGACTCCAAACCCTGCCCTATTTTCCAGGGTAGCTCTGAGAATTAAATTAGCTTATTTAAAACATGCGAGGGAGGTAGCTATTGTCTGCTCCTTCCAGCGCCCTACAGTAGCAAGCCCTAGGCTGGATGTGCAAAGTTCACTCAACCACCCTTTGAAGATGAATGAGGGAGCAGGGGCAGATAACTGAATGGGTTACAGGTCTAAAAGCTTTATGCAAAGTACCACCTCTGGTACCGGTGGAGACTGCAGGAAAACCGAAACGGGCAGCTGAGGCGCTGACGGGCACTGGCTGGCACCTCCCGACGGCGAGGGCAAGCAGCTGCATTCCCAAGCTAAAGACCGCAGCCACTAGACAGCCAAGAAGCAGCGAGGAAAGCCCGGGGCTAGGAGTCGGACGACCTGGGTTCTACTGTGGAATCGTCCTGTGATCTAGGACAACTCGCTTCGACCGGACCCTAAGCGGATTCCCTCCTGGGACAGCGGGAGGGTGTGCCCACAGACACAAGGGGTCTCGAAGCCACATGCGGGACTCGGCGCCCGGTTCGCCAGGAGAGGGAAAGGGCAGGCGTCGCCAGGACCCAAACCTCCTGTAGCAGCAACAGCCGTGGCCGGGTAGGGCCGGGCCGCCAGCCTGGCCTGGCGCAGCATCAGCGCCCGCTGCCGCTTCCGCTCGATGCTCGCCCGCACAGAGGCAGACAGCTCCTCCGGCTGTCCTGAAATCGCCGGCTCCGGCGAAGGTTCCTCGGCTGCCGCCATCTCCAATCTCACAGAACCGTGTCCCCAGTCCTGCGCACGCGCAGATTACACCAGAGGGCCTCTGAGAGGGAGCGCGCCTGCGCGACCTGTGCAGGACGGGAGGAAGGGCGGGGCGGTGGGCGAAGTCTGAGTGCTTACAGGGGCCGGAAATACCTTTTGGCTTGTAAACTGAGAAAGTGGTATGAAGATGGTTTTATCAGGACTTGGTCGTTTTTAAAATGGTAGTTTCGCTTGATGGTTTAGAATATGGGCTTTGGAGTCAGACCTAGCTTAAGTCATATCTCTTAGATCTACCATCTGCGTGATCTTGAACAAGTTATTTAACCTGAGTTCCGATTCTTCAGTAGTAAACTGAAGTAGTATAATTACGGAACCACTTCCTGGGTTCTTGGAGGAATTAGATGTAAAGGCTTTCCACACAATTCCTGGCACATAGAAAGCGTCCAAGAATGATGGCAGCTGGTAGTAATACCATCAATCAAGAGAGATTAAGAGATAATTGATCTGACTTTTCGGACAGAGCCTTAGATTGGAAATGAGAGCACCTGTGTTCAAACGTTCACTTGCTGTGTAATCGCAGGCAAATGCAGCACCTGGTACCAAGGCTGCTGCTCACGAACTTCACTGTCTTTTCCATGGAACATTCGTGGATGAGTTGCCACCAGGGAGACAATGAGTTTGGATGGTGGCTGAATCCTGAGTCCCCAAAAGTATGGTAAATGGAGCAAAAGAAACATTGCACACTTTTCCAGAAATATATGCTATTTTTATTACAAATAAAATTGACTTGAAACCAGAAAACATTAAGTTCTAATTACATATACTATTTAGGACTAGATTTTAGAGCGATCTGACACATGTGACGTTTCCCACTAATATTCAATGGTTAAGGTTTGAGAAGCACAACCTAGTGGTTCTAATCTATTGATTATTCATATATTGTATTTAAGCTCGAGAACCTCATATAAGTGGTCAAATGCTCAGATCTACTGTTGAATTGGAGACAGAGACCTCAAGCCTTTCCTGCGGTCCTTCCTCTCACATCCCTCTTTCTTCCTTTCTATTGATAGTGTGCAGGTGATAAAGTCAAATTCCATGTAACACCAAAAGCACAAGCAACAAAATAAAAAAATTAAGTAAACAGGATAAATTAAAAACTTGTGCATTCAATAACGCTATCAAGAAAGTGAAAAGACAACTCGCAGAATGACAGAAAATATTTGCAAATCATATATCTGAAAAGGGTCTAGTCTCCAGAATATATAAAGAACTCTTACAACCCAATAAAAAGGCAAATAATCCAGTTTTCAGATGAACAAAGGGCTTAAGTAGACATTGTTTTAAAGATTTTGTTCATTTCTTTTTAGAGAGAGGGGAAGGGAAGTAGAAAGAGGAGAGAAACACCAATGTGTGAGAGAGACATCTGTTGGTAGCCTCTCACATGCCCCCAAATGGGGACCTGGGCAGCAACCTAGGCATGTGCCCTGACATGGAATCAAACTGGCGATCTTTCACTTCGTGGGATGACGCCCAACCCACTGAGCCACACCAGTCAGGGCTTCCGTAGATATTTTTCTAAAGAAGATAAACAAATGGTCAATGAACACATGAAAAGACATTCATCATTAGTAGGGAAGTGCAAATCAAAAGCATAATGAGATACCACTTCATACCCAATAAGATGACTAGAACTAAGAAAAAAAAACCCAGAAAATAGTAAGTTGACAAATATATGGAAAAATTGGAACACTCATGCATAGCTGGTAGGAATGTAAAATGATACTGCTATAGAAAACAGTTTGACCTTCAAAAAGTTAAACGTAGAAATACCATATGAGTCAGCCATTCCACTTCTGAGTATATACTCAAAAGAACTGAAAACAGGAGTTCAAACAAAAAGTTACACTTAAATGTTCATAGTACTCTTCACAATAACCAAAAGCTTGAAACTACCCAAATGGCCATCAAATCATGAATGGATGAACAAAATGTGGTATATCCATACACAAAAAGTATGATTCAGCCATAAAAGGAAGAAAGTACTGATACATGCTAACACATGGATAAACCTTGAAAACATTATGCATTCCTCTTATATGAAATACACGAATAAGCAAACTCATAGTGAAAGAAAGCAGATTAGTGGTTGCCAGGGGCTAAGGGAAGAGGAGGTTGGGAGATGACCACTTAATAAGTATGGGATTTCCTTTTGGGGTAATCAAAATGTTCTGGAACTAGATAGTAGTGATAGCTGCACAACACTGTGGATGTACTACATGTAACTAATAGTCAATTTCATTTTATAATACCTTTTAAAAACAACTCCAATTGTGAATGGGCCCAGGCAGGTGTGGGGCCTGGGCAACCTGGAGTGTGCAGGTGCCTGTTAAAGGGGGCGCTCCTGCGCAGCTCCCGAGCGCGATTCTCAAGACCGGATCTGGAGCCGCTGTTGCCAGAGTGCCAGCGCGTCAAGAAAAGTTAACTGCTTCTCAAACTTTAGTGCACATATGAGTCACCTGGTGATTGTGTTAAAATGCAGATTCTGATTCAGTGGGTCTTTGGTGAAACTTTGAGAATGCGCATTGCTAACGAGCTCCCTGGTGAGAGTGCAGCTCCACTAACCACACTTGGAATAGTAAGGGTCGCATTCCCAGGTTGTCAAACTGGACAGCACGTTGGAAGCATCTGGTGAGCTGAAATAACACATGCTTAGGCCCTGCCCACAGAGATCCTGATGTCATTGGTCAGGGATGGGATCCGGGCAAGGGATCCAGGCATTGAGATTTATGAAGCACCCTCCCTAGCTCCACCCCCTCACGCCTAGATAATTCTAATGGGCAGCAGACTTTGAGAGCCAGAACCCTAAATGACCCTTCTGGACTCCACACAGCTCTAAGAGTCTCCAAAGCTGTGCAATATTTCTAAAGAACAAGGTAACAGTTCTCCCCCATGTTAACCTGCTGAGAATAATTAGCCTCTAGAGCCTCCTCCCCAACAATGCATTCCTAGCTTGAGTGCTGAAGAACTCAGACCTCAGCTCACAAGCTGTACAGACCCTAGTATTTTGTAACTCTTGCCAAGCTTTTTGGTCTCCTCTTGCAGGGAACTCCCTCTCCTTTGGCTTCCTGACTTTTGTTAGCAAGTTTCGTGTAACTGGGACTGAATTGTTAGCTGACGCCTCAACCAAGCTAAAACGAGACTCCTCCTTTAGAGAAGGGAGAAGAGTACATGCCCTGATCTGTACACCTCACACAGGGACAGAGGCTATAGGGCTCGCCCAGAGCGTAGCGGCATGAGTCATCTCGGTGGGGGCACAAAAGGAAAGCGGGCAAGGAGAATAGAGCAGTGGATGTATTCTCGCTTCTCCCCATTCAGTCTCAGGGAAAACCTGTGACTATATCTTCCTGCTTTGTACCTCTCCCATCTCCCAGACTATCTGTGATCCAGGCTAAAAGAGGGGTAATTAGCAAAGCAGAGGAAGAATGGAAAGCCCTAACCCAAGCCTAAAAAACAGCAGGCAGGTAATAATGGAAGCCAGGGAGGGGGTGAGAAACTTGGCAGCGTTACCCGACAGGGCCTCCTCTCTAAGAGCCTCCTCTCTAAGAGCGTTACTGCGGGTATTCATGACCACATGACAGGATGTGAACAGATTTGTCTTTATTATCTAGTAAATAGTATGTGTGTGTGGCTTTCTTTTTTATTTTTATTTTCCCCGACTCCCTGGGGCTTTGCCCCTTAATGTGGTCACTTTGAACATGGTTGGCACTAGTTCCCAGTGGGAGAACATCTGGTGGGAAGGAGCTCGCCGAGGGGAAAACTGTCTGGGACAAGGCAGCAGAAACGCAGAGATTAGTCTGATCCTATTGACTCGAGTGGTATTGATTTAGTAATCCCGGAAACGCACTCTCTCTTGGCTGTGATAGGCCAGGCAAACGCCCCTGGAGAAACTTTGATTGCAACCTCCCTGGAACAAAGAAAGGTAAAGGGATTGAGGCAAAAACATCATACTGGAAACTTGATCAATAAAATGTTTGTGTGCGTACAAAGGGGTTTAGGAAACATCTTAAAGACTCACAAGAATTTTCTTTCCAAAAGCAACAAGAAGTGGGAGGGTCCAAATGATTCAACGAAGGATGGGGCCTAGAAAAAAAAAATGGCTATCAGCACTGGAAGCCAAAATCCTTTGTCACTCATGGATCTTCCCTACTCTGCACTCCCCAGATGCCAAATACAGCCCTGGGGACCTTGCTTCTTACTGCCTCTTCCAGGAAGCCTGTCCTGACTCCTCCCTCTGGCTGCCTATAAACCGCATGTGCTGTTGCTGAGACACTTACCACACCTCAGGTGATACCTACCTGCTGTCGTTACTAGATCATCAGGCGCTGGAGAGCTGCAACCACCTGATTCATCCCAGTAACGCTAGGGCCTAGCACCTCGTGTGGCTCCGAGGAGCTGCACAGTAAATGTTTTTGGAATTAAATAGAATGATAATACTGAATACGCCTAGTTGTCTGTTTCAGCAGCGCTGAAAACTCAAGGTCCACAGCTGAGCCTTGCAACCCCTTCACATCCACTAGGACAGCTATACACATGCGGTGGTGAAGAATACTCTACTTCACAATGGCCTAGTCCACTGTTGTCTAGCTTTGGCCATTATTTTCTGCAATAACAATAATAACAATAACAAATACTTATATAGTGCTTGTAGTTTCTACAGCATTTTAAATTTATTAACTAATTAATTTTCATAGCCACTCAATGTGTATTTTCACCAATCCCAGCTTAACATTGCTTTATTTTATTTTATTTTTTAATTTATTGTATTTTTCTATTACCATTTATCCCCCCATAACCCTTTCCACCCCCACCCAATCACCACATCACCAATCCCAGTTTATAGATGAGACAGCTAAGAGATGTCAAATAATTTGTTCCAGGCCATCAGCCAATAAATGTTTGGTGGAACCCAGCTTAGCCCCAACATCAATATTCTCAACCACTGAACTGCAAGTCTCTATTTTAGAACAAGT